TTTTTTTGAGAGGTTTTTGCTATAGGGCGCGTGTGCTCGCCAGACAGACAGAGAGACAGAGAGACAGAAAGCCAGAAAGCGAGAAATCACCCCCCAGGGGGGGTGGCCATGCCATAATCCCTTCTCCTCAGGTCTCCTCTCGGGATCTTGGGCATGCACACACACACGCCCAGCGTGAGTTTTAAGCCACCGGGTCCGGGACACGGACCACGGTCGACTACGTGGGAGTCCAGCGACATAGCCATTACGCTAACTGCTGGTTCCCAGACACCCCTCCTTTCTTGAGAGCGCTATCTTCCTTCCATGGCTTCACTAAATTCTCCACTTGCTAGCCCCTCTACGCCTCAGCGTCTCTAATTCTTCCTGAGTGCCACACAGAACCTGTGTCCCCTGATCGCCCTGCACCCCCGCAGCCCCTAGTAGCTGCATCACGGGGGATGGCCAGGCTGCAGTTCCTTCTCTACTCTCCATCTGCTCCTCCTTTATCTACGCGAGAATTTCCTCAGCAGTAAGGACACCACTGTTCTGGTCATTCTGAAGATATTTGTGAAATTTGAAAGAAAAAAGTCAGTATTTAAACCACACAGACAGGAAACTACTAGATTTTAAGGAGGAAACAAACACACGCATGCAGGTGTTTCAAACCGCCAGATCTGAGATTCAAATCGCTCTCAGCCACATGGGAGACCAGGGCCTTAACCACTACGCCACATGCTGACCTCTGAGGTCAAACAGTTTTTTTTAAATAATTATTATTTTTTTAATTTCTTATTATTTTAAATTTGATATAGGGCGCGCGCGAGAGAGAAAGCAAGTCACCAACCAACAGATGATGTGGTGGTTAAAGGCACTGTATTTCCACATGGCTGACAACAGTTCAAATCCCAGACCTGGCGGCTTGCTTTCTTTCTCTCTCTCTCATTTCCTCTCTAGGTAACTTGAAATAAGTAAGTGAATAAAGTTAAATTTTAAAAATATTTAATTATTTTATTTCATTGTATTTATTATTATTTTTTAATTTGACCAGAGAAAAAGACACAGAGAAAGAGGGGGAAAGTTAGAAAGTGAGTCTCCAGGTCCGGGACTCAAACCCCATTGACCCTGCTTCCTGCCTCATTGTACTTTCTGCTAGCCCCTGCCCCAATTCCCTGAAAATTGACTTTTTTTTTAAGAATTATTTTATTTAACTTATCTATTTATTTATTTTGGAGAGGTTTCTGCTATAGGGCGCGTGCGCTCGCCATACAGACAGAGAGAGCAAGAGGAGAGACAGAGAGACAGAAAGTGAGAAATCACCCCCTGGGGGGGTGGCCACGCAGCAATCCCTTCTCCTCCATTCTCCTCTCGGATCTTTGGCACACACGCACACGCGCCCAGCGTGAGTTTAAGCCACCGGGTCCGGGATGCGAACCACGGTCGACTACCTGGGAGTCCAGCAACATAGTCATGACGCTAACTGCTGGCCCCCACCCAGGAATTTTTAATATATATTTTTTAATTTTTTTGCCATAGGGCACGTGTACTTGCCAGAGACAGAGACAGAGAGAGAGAGAGAGAAAGGTGAGAACATACCCCCGGGCACAGCAGGGTGATGGCCATGCCACAATCCCTTTTCCTCCATTCTTCTCCTGAGATTTTTGGGCATGCATGTACACATGTCTGGATTTCCAAGCCCCTGGGTTCAGCATTTCTTTTTAAGAATTATTTATTTAATTGTATTAATTATTACTTTAATTCGACTAGAGAGAGACAGAGACGTGAGAAAGCAAGCCGCCAGGTCTGGGACTCGAACTGCACTTGACCATACGGGAGTCCAGCATCTTAACCACCAGGCCACCTGCTGGCCTCTCAACTTTATTTTTAAAGCCCAAAATGCAATGTCCATAGGAATCACTGAAACACAGCCACGCCCATTCCTTTGCATATCCCCCTTGGCTGCTTTCTGACTACCTAGCAGAACTGAATGGTTAAAACAGAGACCCATGTGGCCCATGAAGTCTAAAATAAATATTCTCTGACCCTTTACAGAGACTGTGCTGACTGGTCCCTCCGAGGATATGAAGCCAGAGAGAATAAAAGCAGGGTACAGTGAATAGTCCCCAATGCCACCTGGGTAGCCTGACATTTTTGGAGACTCAGAGTGCTCTGGGTTGATTTCTCGCTTTCTGTCTCTGTGTCTTTGTGCCTCTCCAGGGAGTGCATGCACCCTATACAAAAATCTCTCTCCCCCCAAAAAAGCAGTTGGACTGTTGAGTTGTATTCTTTTTGTTTTTAGATTTTTGCTATGTGTGTGCTTGCCAGAGAGAGACAGAGAGACAGAGAGACAGAAAGCGAGAAATCGCTCCCGGGGTGGAGGGAGGATGGCCACACCGCAATCCCTTCTCCTCCATTCTCCTCTCGGGATCTTGGGTATGCACGCACACGTGCCTGGCGTGAGTTTTAAGTTGCCGGGTCTACGACTCGAACAATGGTCTACTCTATGTGGGAGTCCAGCGACCTTAACCATTACTCCATCTGCTGGTCCCTGTGTGTTTTCCAGCAGGGAAAAAGCAGCTGATCTGAAAGCAATGATGTTTGGCGTTGGCGAATGCTGTGTTATCATTACTTTTGTAATCACAAGGGGTTCTTCCTTTTTTTTTTTTTTTTGAGAGGTTTTTGCTATAGGACGCGTGTGCTCACCAGAAAGAGACAGAGAGACAGAAAGCGAGAAATCAACCCCCCAGGGGGAATGGCCATGCCACAATCCCTTCTCCTCCATTCTCCTCTCGGGATCTTGGGCACGCATGCACACACTCCCGGCGTGAGTTTAAGCCACCGGGTCTGAGACTTGAACTGCAGTCAGCTACGTGGGAGTCCAGCGACATAGCCATTATGCTAACCGCTGGTCCCCAGCACAAGGGATTCTTGATGATTCATTGATTGGTCCCATCTCCCAAAGGAATTTGACCCGTTCGATGGCATTTCATGTCTGTGAAGTGTACAAAACGTGTTGTAAGAAGCGGTTTGTGTCAGAGGCAATAAATAAACCCTTTCGACCCTTTCTCTTGCTTTAAGCAGAAAGACACTAGTTGCCAGTAAGAAATTTAAAACAAGTCTCACAAAGTTTTGTGTTTGGTTCAAACTATGAATTTTTTAAATAGAATTATTTTTATTACTTTTTTAAAAGAGATTTTTGCTATAGGGCGTGTGCGTTCATCAGAGAGAGACAGACAGAAAGAGAGAAATCACCCCCCAGGGGGGATGGCCATGACACAATCCCTTCTCCTCCATTCTCCTCTCGGGATCTTGGGCACGCACACACACATTCCCTGGCGTGAGTTTAAGCCACCGGGTCCAGGATTCGAACTGCGGTCAACTACATGGGAGTCCAGCAGCATAACCATTACACCATCTGCTTGTCCAAAGAATTATATTCTTCATTTAACTTCACTTGTATTTTTTAAAATAATTGTTTCTTTTCTTTATTATTATTATTTTTTTTTAATTTGCTATAGGACACGGGAGCTCACCGGAGAAAGAGAAAGTGAGAAAGCAAACCACCAGGTCCGAGACTCAAACTGCAGTCAGCCATGTGGGAGTCCAGCGCCTTAACCACTTTGCTACCTGCTGGTCCCCAAAATGTGACCATTTTTGAGAGAGATTTTTGCTATAGGACGTGTGCACTTACCAGAGACATAGAGATCTAGCGAGAGAGAAAATGAGAAATCACCCTCAATGGAATGGTCACGCCTCAATCCCTTCTCCTCCATTCTCCTGTCGGGATTTTGAGCACACACACACACATTCCTGGTGTTCATTTCAAGCCCCCCGGGTCCGGGATTCAAGCCGTAGCTGGCCATGTGGGAGTCCAGCGCCTTAACCACCACACCACCTGCTGGCCCCCCCAAACGTGAACTATTTTAGGTCTGGAGATCTTAGCAAAACATGCTTTTTATCCCTGGTGAGAATACATGTACTGTTGCTTAACTCTGTGGTTCACTGAGAAGGTTGCACCTTAACCTCTTCATCCCAGAGTCAAATGCGATTACAGATATTTTCTTCTCAGGACATTAACTTTATTTTTAAATTTAACTGTATTTATTTATTTATTTTAATTTGACCAGAGAAGGACAGACAGAGAGAGAGAAAGTGTGAAAGCAAGCTGCCAGGTCCAGGACTCAAACTATAGTCAGCCAATGTGGAAGTCTGACGCCCTTCAACACCACGCCACCTGGCGGCCCCCACTGGGAATTTAACTTGTAAGGCAGACTGCTCTGTTTTTTCTTTTTCTCTTTTTTTTAGAGAGGTTTTTTTGCTATAGGGTACGTGCGCTCGCCAGACAGAGAGAGAGAGAGAGACAGAGAGATAGAAAGCAAAAAACCATCTGCCCAGGAAATATGAGCACCTGGCTGTTTTCCACCTTCAATTTCATCCTGTCTTCTATAACCACAAATAAGGCGAAGAAGCTCAGAGCCCTCTGCTGCTTACCCCTCAACACAGAGGGCCCCAGCTTCCCAGGGCAGGTGGGGAGTGGGCAATGGGGACAGAAGCCACTCCCTCTATTCTGGCTGTAATGAAGCCTGCAGCCCACCCCTGGGGACCAATTAAAGGAGTCTCAGGAAGGCATCAGGTGGGGTCCAGGGCTGAGCTGAGATCCCCATGAAGGGATGTGCTTGTTTGGCACCAGGGGGCCAATTAAGTGGATGGAAGCACGCGGTCACAGGTCACACTCTCTAATACTCGATACACAGAACTTTCCAGAAGCAGCGTGGTGCTCCAGAAGCTCCACATGCATCTGCGAATGAAGCTTTTCAAGGCCACCCACCTCCGGATGGGGAAAGAGAAAGGCGGTTTGTTCCTCTTATCACATAGCTCTTGAAAAACGGTATTTTAATTTTGGGGGGAGAGGTTTCTGTTATAGGGCACATGCGCTTGCCAGACAGAGAGAGACAGAGAGACAGAAAGTGAGAAATCACGCCCCCCCCCCCGGGGGGGGATGGCCACACCGCAATCCCTTCTCCTCCATTCTCCTCTCGGGATCTTGGGCACGCACGCACACGCGCCCGGCGTGAGTTTAAGCCATCAGGTCCAGGACTCAAACCATGGTCGACTACATGGGAGTCCAGCAACATAGCCATTACGCCAACTGCTGATCTCGATTTCTTTTTTTTTTAATTTGCTGCAAGGCACGAGTGATAGCCCAAGAGAGGCAGAGAGAGAGAAAGTAAAAAAGCACTCGTAGTGGCTTCGACAGAAATAACCAGCTTTGCAAATTCTTTAATGCAGATTCTTTCTTTCTTTTCTTTTTTTTTTTTTTTTTAGAGATTTTTGCTATAGGGCACGTGTGCTCACCAGAGAGACAGAGAGACAGAAAGCGAGAATTCACAGCCCCAGGGAGGATGGCCACACCGCAATTCCTTCTTCATTCTCCTCTCGGGATCTTGGGCACACACACACACACACACACACACACACACGCCCAGCATGAGTTTAAGCCGCCAGGTCTGGGATTCAAACCACAGTCGACTACCTGAGAATCCAGCGACGTAACCATGAAGCCATCTGCTGGTCCCAATGCGGTTTATTTCTAAGCAATAAGAAAGGCAAAACATGCCTTCAGGTGATCAGGTACAGGGGTTCCTTTTATTTGATTTTGAGAGCGAGAGACAAAGTTTGGATTTTACTGACGTGTTTCCATTGGTCTGGTGAAAAAGGCGGATATGTGGAAGCTGGGGCATGTAGGTTGCAGCTGGGTTTACAGTTTTTAGGCTGGTGATTGGAAAAGGAAGGTTGCCCAGATCAGAAAAAAATGTGCTTTAACAGAGATAAAGAGGCTTAATATACATTGCAAAGATACTACGCCAGGGACAGGATCTAAGAGTCCTATCATCAATGGGTCAAAATGGTCTGTTATGGGATCAGCAGTTGGCATAATGGCTATGTTGCTGGACTCCCATGTAGTTGACCGCTGTTCGAGTTCTGGACCCCGTGGCTTAAACTCACACCAGGCGCATGTGCATGCGTGCCCAAGATTGTGGGAGGCTACGCACTAGCGAGTCTGCCGAGGCCATTTTCATAAGTCTCTTACTATTGCCATCTTAGGAAGCCCTTAGGTTCTCAGAGAGCAATTACACAATGACAAAGGCCATGATTGGCTCCCCTTCCAAACCTCACCTTCAAAACCATACTCTGATTGGCCACTTCCCATAAAGGCCACAATTGGCTCCCCTTCAAAACCTCACCTTCAAAACCATACTCTGATTGGCCACTTCCCATAAAGGCCACAATTGGCTCCCCTTCAAAACCTCACCTTCAAAACCATACTCTGATTGGCCACTTCCCATAAAGGCCACAATTGGCTCCTCTTCAAAACCTCACCTTCAAAACCATACTCTGATTGGCCACTTCCCATA